GTAAATTTATGTTTATAACCTTCCCGCTGGCATTCAGTTTTCTATAAAGTTATTTGCTAACAACTGTGTTCTTTATCGCTAAATAATTAACCAATGTGATCATTCTCTTCTCCAATCTGACCTCAACAGTATATCTATATGACGTAATAAATGGTTAATGACTTTTAACATTAGCAAATATAAGAGTATAAAAATATTCCGCCTTTCTAATCCCCCCAGATCCTGCGTCCTTAAAATTAACAGTGTCCCACTAGATCATATCACCTCGTACAGATATCCCGGAGTTCACGTAACAAACAGCTTCTCGCGATAAACCTACGTCATAAGTAACGGCAACCGCACCCTTGGCTACTTGCGTCGCAATGTTTCTCAAGGCCCCTCGTCTCATGAAGTTGATTTTATATCGCACATTCATTCACCCGAAGCTCGAATACGCGTCCGCTACGTGGGACCCGGCTCAACGTACTTTTATCGATGTCATAGAATCTGTTAAAAATCGATCTGCGCGTTTTTTTTTTTTTTCTAACAATTTTTGACTTCTAGCGTTTCACAAATGAAATCTAATCTTCGGCTACATGCATTACAATTCCGAAGAAAAATTTCGCGTCTTTCTTTTATTTATGAAATTTTCTTTAACAACTCATCATGATAAAATAAATAACACCGACTTGACTGAACAAAATTAACAGTTTAATCAGACGTTTCATCTCCTCATGCGGGAGACATCCTCAGTGAGTGCCAACATGGACACGAGTGAGAGCCCAGTAACCAACCCCTATTTCATCAAATTTGCGTACACGTCAGCAAACGTCTGATTAAACGTAATTTTGTTAAGTGAAGTTGGTGTTGTTTATTTTAGCATGCCCAGTCCCGGTTTTTGAGCATTTTTGCATAACTCATTATTGCAGCATGAACTTCTTTTACAGCCTTCATACATTTCATCCCGCATTAATCGCCAGTTTAAAGTTGCAATTCCTTATTTCCACACAAATATGTTTCCAGATTCCTTCCTACCCAAGACCAGCTCAGAGTAAAACCGCCTTCCCCACTCGATCGTCTCCATTGAAGACGTCTCATTCTTCAAGAAGGCCAGCCATAACTGAACGCTTTTATAATCCTGCACTACGTTAATTCGATTTCGGTTGTTGTTCTTGTTGTTGTTTGAATATTATACTTTTTGTTTATGCATTTTTAAACAAATTGTGCCCACCCTCTCTGTAACGCCCCCTGGGCCCTGAGGGCATCAAAATAAATAAACTGATGCGACGAAAAATTAAGAAAAATTCACATTATCAATGTTCGAATGAATCTTTGATATTTACGTAGAATTTACATCAAAATTCAGAGTTCATCGGATAAATCCGAATTGGCTAGCATTCTGAGTTTTTTCGGATTTATCCAAAAACACAGAACCCTACAATTATACATCATACAAAAGACATTCTGCTTAGAGATTCGAACACGAGTCAACGCGAGATCCGTGGTTCCAATACCGCAAAGCAATAAGTTCGCGGAAGAAACAGGTGATTCGTGTGTGCAGACGGTCTTCTTCCTTTTTTTTTTTAATCATTTATGCCCAGTTAAACCCCACCCTGGCTTTAAGGATTTAAAGAAACCTTCCTGCCAGAGTGCCACAAAAGTGAAGCAGCGTTTGGAAACAAGCAAGACTTCATACGATTGCACCGGGAAAGCAGTTATAGTGCGTGACACAGATGATAGAATCACGAAATTTAAATTATACGTCAACGTTGAATGAACCCTACCGTGCGGACACACGTGATATCGAACTTACAGCTATGACGATGGCACATGATCCCTCTGTAACCTTTTTACGAAACTGGGGTCGAGAATAGATTACTTCCATAAATCCGTCACCGCGCGCGTCGCGTTCTGGGAACCTGTGGGCTAGGAACGGAGTGCGTATGGATTTTGCTTCCTACCGATTCCCACAATGCACAACGTGACGTTCCGCCGCGATGCGGCGCTTCGAGTTTTGGAATACGTCTTTTTGGGCTTACTGGGTTGTGCAGTGTATGCGCACAAAGTGCACCACGGTTTGCAGAAACCACACACTGGGAGCCTTCTTACTGCTTTTTTCGGACATAATATTGTTTCTCATAAAAAAAGCTACCATTGCTGTCACTGACAATACGATAATAGCAGGGCATCTTTTTTTAACACCCTGCCTCCAGCATGCATCTTTCGTCGTGCTGTGACGGCGCGTGCTCCTTCGAGGCTTACGAGACGTCGAAGCGTTCTTGACGGTCGGAAACTCCCTGTGGAGGTGGTCCAACTGAAATTGCATTTCTGAAATATTTATTTTCTTAATCAATTACTTAGTAGTGCTTTCTTCAATGTTTCGCATCTGTGCCGTCTAAGCACAAACGCACGAACAGAAAGTGAGTGTACAATCGAGCTGGTGAAGATTAAAGAAGGTTTTAAACTTTTTCGTGTATACGTGTCGCCCTTCGCTCGCTTTCCGCTTCCGATGACTGTGAATATTTTTTAAACAAAAATAAATATCGAATTTAAGATTAGCATAATTTCATTGTTTGTTTCTATCGAGTCAACTCCCAGGCGTAACCTGTAGGCGAATCTGCTGGGAGCGCGCGCCTATAAACTATTTTCTAAACTGAGGTACCGATTATTGGAAGGTAGAAACCACTGCACAATGGCGGCACAACTGGCATCGTGGAACCTTGCAAGTCATTCCATAAAACAGCGAAGCGAACGTCGGACCGCGGTCAACGCTAGAAGCTGACGAGCGAATCATACAGCATTGAAAGTGCAACGTCACCGCGCTCATCGCATTTCTTTGCGGGCGTCTTTGCCTTCTAATCCAAGCAAACGAATTGAGAGTGCGCCGTGACGTCGTTGTTTTTAGTCCGCCGTTGCGCAGGGATGCCACAACTGCCAACAAAGGGCAAGTCTTTCGAAGGGGCTCAATATCTGCCTCGAGGACGTCAGTGGCTACGCGTTTACACGTCCATGTAGTTCGAGCCCGGACACTGCCCTGTGCGCTATCGACTCGTTCGTCTTCTCATGCTTGCATGCAGAGGGGCGTCCGAAAAATCGAGACAGAAAGAAATGGACAAACGCAGCTTTAGAGTCGAACCACCATCAGCCTACGGTAGATTCTGTATTGTAGGCACACACACAGACACGCGTTCACGCACAGGCACACACGCGCACGTATACACACGCACGCACACATACACATACACACACACACACGCGCGCGCGCGCATCTACGAGGGTCTGAGAGGAGGTGAAGAATATTGAACTTGATTTAGCTCTAAAATCGATACTAGCCTGTCAAGTTTTCGGCGCATCGTGGATTTCGGGCGCTTTTTTTTTTTTTTTTTTATTGTTCCCTTTTTTTTTTTTTTTTTTTTTTTTTGCTTGTGTATTGTTTTGACGCTTTCACGTGCTCTCAGTCGCCGATCGGCATCGAGACGAGCCGTACCGTGCCTCGATCTCGATCGGAGTTTGGTCATATTTGTCTTCGTAATTTTGGGCGCCGCTCGGACCAGCGAGAGTCCGATTTCAGGCGCCAGCAGCTTGTGGTCGGGAATTAAGTGCATATCTTTGCAAACAACGCGCGGAAGGACGGAATGAATTGAAAGCACACACACACGCGCAGAGCGTCCAGCGAGCGGATTGACGTTTGGAGGACGTATCGGGAAAATTACGCTCCGTACAAAAATAAACAAAAAAACAAGAAAAAACATGTCTGCGACTGTAAAGAGGAGATCCGGCTGCTTTTTAAGCTACCTAAGCTAAACAAATTTTTGGAATACACAGCTCTTGCTCTTTCAGGTATTTAATGTATTATGACTAAGTTCAAAATAGCTCTTGAGAATACCGCAAATGAAGGCGTTCCCTAAACCAACCTCAAAATGTTGTTGCGTTTTCCACTGGGGCAACGTAACATGTTGTATAGCTTGGAATTCAATTTTAAAACAGACAATATTCTGCGCATTTTTTTTTTCTGTGCTGGCGTGTGAAATATTAGGATTCATTTCACACCGTTAGACTCCCCGTAACCCGTCGGGAACAATCTGCACTTCTCCCTTATTGGGCCCACAACAACATCTGACGGCACGTCTTCAGTGTTGCCAATGCACCGAGAAACTGAAGGAGAGTAGAAGACGAGACGGGATGTCGGAACGGCGAGCTCTGCTTCGAATGATTAGTGGCTAGTCCAAAAACCTCTCTCTTCACTGCTCAAATGTGAAACTTCAATACCTTTGCGAAAAAAGCATATCCTCACTGTTACACATGGGTTACTGATTCAGATGTGTCTATTAATCTGTTCAACTCGATGCTGTACACTAAGGCTGCAGTCACATTGCTCCTATATCATACAAACAACACGGTGCTTCCCGTGACCAGAGAATTACCTGCGACACACATCAAGCACATGTTTGCTACATACGCTCGTAGCACGTCTGCAGACAGCCTTTGTACGAAAAATGTTGCGGGACCGACATACGAGGAAAACAAACACGCCTCAGAGCAGGGTGTAAGATAGACAGGTGGGGAAACGGCCCATAGAAACCTACCGCAGCGCCGTGACCGGGTTGTGTACTCGTCTGCTTGCGGGTACCCCCGATTTGCGACAGATGGCGCTGCGGCGAGAGGAAAAAAATTGGAATTGAATTTTTATGGAACTTTATGGGAGAGTGCGCAAAATAAACCGAGATCACGACAGTCCTCCACTGAAAATCCACGAAAAATCATCTCCGTCAGTTTAGCCAATCGCCACCGGTCGCCCACCCGGAGTGAGAGTTCGCGGTGCTCCACATAGATGGCGCCACAGAAAAAGAGAAACCCGAGGGGGACACAATCCGGTCGCTCATTTTGCTCTCGTTTCTCCACCTGTCTATCTTACACCCTGCCTCAGAGACTGTTTGCGGACTGTCTTTTGTACGATGTGTTCGCAGTGTTTTGACGAGGGCTCCTCGATGCACGAGGATGGACGGGGTAGGGTACGTCACCTCTATGGAGTGCCCCTCGACGGGCGAGCGGACGGTCCGGGTGACGGCCTGCATGGCGAGGCCCATGGCCACCAGGCGGTCGGCGTGGTCCTCCAGGAACTCGGGCACTCCGGAGACCACCACGTACGCGTCGCCGATCGTCTCCACCTGTACCGGAGGCGAGTGTTCAGTGCAGAGCTTGGTTTAGGTAACGACGGCTAACACTCGAGCAAATAAGCACTAATTATCCTCATGTTCGAAAGAGTAGCCGGCGCCGCTAACACCGGAAGCCAATAACTCATTTTTCTTTAGTTCATAACAAGATAGCAATAACGTGAGGACATCGTAGCTCACCGGCGACAAAAGTTTGCTCACACGAAAGGTAAGTCATTTTTACTTAAAATGGTCAAATGGCCACCTTGCATCTCCGCTTGGATCCAGAATTTCGCCACGGCTCTCGCCGGAAAAACCTGCCTCATAGTTTGTGCACCTCAGCCTTTATTGAAGAGAAGTGTGTTTCGGCGTCTCGCCGCAGCGGGGCACCAGTAACGAGGCTCTCCTGTCATCCGTTGCCTGCCGCTCCCCCTCTTCCATTTCGGCGGCCGCTTCTCGTGGCGATCTGACAGGCTTTGTCAGTATATAGGAGGCTATGGCTGAAGGCAGTGCTAGGCGCGCTGCAAGGAGTTCTATAGTTTGGAAGGGAGGTGCAGGTCTTCTAGGTTCTATTGGTTCGACCCCTAAGCGACGTTCGGGGCTCGACTCTGACCTTGTAGACGCCGTGCACTCCCGTGAGGGAGTCGAACTGGACGTAGAGCCTGTTGAGCAGGCGCACGATGTCCATGGGTTGGACGTTTTCGCTCCCGCAGAGCGCCGTGAAGCCCACGATGTCCGAGAAGAGGCAGGAGACGAGCTCGAACTTCTCGGCCTCCACGGGCAGGTTTTGGCACAGGCTGCGCGCCACGCCCGCCGGAAAGATGGAGCACAGCAGGTCTTCGGTGCGCCGCTTGTCTTCCCGCAACTTCGAGTCGAGGATCTGGACGCGCGCGCGGACACGCCGAGGTGAGACACTCTTCTCATGTATCATTCAAAAGACGGGTGACAGAATTATTTGTCTCCATAATTGAAGCATGCTCGAAGCCTGTTTGATCATCTCTAAAGACAGTTCTTTTCTAAGACCGTCATACGAGGAAGACATCCTGACATTCTCCGCCAACTGTCTTTTGTGACATGTATTAGCAGGTAACCGCGGTTTTAAAAGGTTTAAAAAAAAAAAAACGACATTGTGAATTCATGATGTCTTTTGCACAACGTATCGGCAGTGTAACCGCAGCTTTAGGAGATCTCAAAAAGCCGACATTGAGAATTCATGGCTACCATGAATACGCGGACAAATAGACGGACGTAATTACAAAATGCCCCGAGACTATTGCCAAAAAAGGGAGACAGGACAAATACCCAACTCCAAAACACAGCTGATATAGTATTCGATAAGTAACCTCTCTATTCTAGTCTGAACATAAATTCAGGAAAGGGCACGAAAGGCAAATAAATTATGATCAATTTACATGAGCTTGTTCGAACGCTTCCTTTTCTTCAAGAGGTGAAAGTTGGTGTCATAAACTATTTCATTAAGGGGTTGAAACACCGAATATTTATTACCATTTTTTTAACCCTAAATATTTCGCATTACATCACTAACCATAAAGCACAGCGTGTAGGAGGCCAAGACGCTGTCACTAACCTATTTACGCGCTACTATACTCCGTTTGGCTTAACAGAAAACTTTAACAAAATTTGAAATATACCCGTCGTGTTCTGAAATAGACTGAACATGACCCACAATATCCGTAAATAAGTATCTCGCGTTTGTATTTTGAGCCTGTCGGCTTCATCTTTTTTCGTTATAAACGGCTCACTCTGGCAAGCGCTCGGGGAGCAGCCAGCGGAGAGCACGTGACATCCGGCGCAATCGTGACGTAGTTTGTCTCGGGACGAGCAAAGCTGCGGCGCGAGGCTGACGTCGACAGGACGATTGCAAGCGGGGCATCTGGCCGCCGCCACGTCACTGCTCGTGCGGGCAAGTGCGCGCAGTTACAAAGCTTGTCAAAGCTACGTTCACGCGCACGCTGCACAAGCTTAAGCGCATGGAGCACCGGCGAGGCTATAGTTCTAGGCGAGATAGGCATTGTCACTACCTGTCAATGTTCCTAGACGGACATTAAAAACGAAACTTCAGCGACATCCATCAAGTGCCCTTTGCTGATCGTTTATTTCGTTTAAAAAATGTTTTTGTGACTTTTTCAACGAGAGATTGAGGTGTCCGATATGATACTGCTACCCCGAACACGTATTCGCCCTTTTATTTGTTTGGAAACAAACTCGGTGGCGCCATCTTCTTGGTAGCCCTGGCACACTTCCGGTCCGGGTATATTTTCAAAATTTTTTTACATCATTATTTCACCATAAGAGTGGATTATGTGTAAGAGTTGCATAATCGACCACCCTCCGATAATAGCGCGTGTATTTAATCTCACAGACACTATGAAACCCGCCGTCTAGTTGAGAACCGGGAGGGTTTGAGGGCTATTTGCACACTGGTGCCACCACGATAACACCAAGGGCTTTGGTCGGACGTAGTTTGAGTATAATAAAGCACGTTGCTCGGCTAGTTGATGCATACTTCGGTAGATAATAAAATGACACTAACGATATAAGGACGAGAGTAGTCAGGACAAGCGCTTCTTATTCTCTACTCGCTCGTCCTTGTCTCGTAAATATATCAGCTTGAACTTTAGGAACAACTAGAAGACAGAAAGGACAGGATATGACACACAGGATATGACAGCTGTGTGTCATATCCTGTCCTTTCTGTCTTTGTGTTCTAGTTATTTCTAAAGTTCAAGCTGATATATTTCCAAGTATGTACCAACAAGCTCAACTCTTAACCGTTATTCAGGTCCTTGTCTCTTTTGCGTTATTTTATTGTGCACCTAGACGATGCATCATTATCGTGCATGTCCAGCCAGAATATGGTTATTTTCAGCTTCCGTAGATAGCTACATTTTCGGAATACCCTGGCTTTACTCTTCCTGGCAGGCTAAGTATTATCTCTAAATTCATCGTAGCTATCTAAAAACGGAATAGGAGCGTGATTTCAAAACAAACGTGTAATAGTCACGCGCTTTCCAGTGAATGACATCACACGTTGCTAGGACTTTCTGGACAAATGGTCAGTCTAAAGAACACAGTATATCGCGCTTTCTTTGTTTCCTTCTGCCGGTGTGAGCTTCCTTCGCAATAATTTCACGTCAACTAACTTGTAAACCATCAGAAATATTACGTACTGCCAAAATTACATGGATGAATGGATGGATGGATGCTAACCGCTGTATCATTTATAACTGGCGGTAACTTGTCCCGCCTAGCCTAGGACTAGGAGCCAAGAGTATGAATTTTTCTCACCGCGAATTTCCTTCCTTTTTGTAATTTTGTAACTATTACCAATCGGGTTAGGATAGTGTCATTATGTTCTTTGGGGGATCTAGTTCAGACGTAGTTTTCAATGCAGTGAATAAATTTAGAGGCAAATCAGCGACTGTCAAAATTTCGCCGGTCTCTATTTTAGAGGAATAGAGGTGTCAATCTTGAGGTGGGTAATTTTTACTCTTAATATCACGTGTTGCACCACTAACTATGAAATTTAGCGTCGAATACACCAAGACGCTATCTGTAATTTTTTATCGCGCTATAAATGTTGGTCTTCATTGCTGGAAGCCGGTATCTCACCACCACGTCGCAGACGAGAGAGCGCAAGTATGGCGGTGGTCATGTGGTTTCAACTAATTGTGACGCGTCATACCTACACTTTCAAGAGAACAAAACCTACACCACGCAACAGTATTTTGGACGCTTGAGGTCGCTGCCATATTTAGAGTTCCTGGAGTGGGTTGTCATCGCAAGATCTCCACTCTCAGCGTTTGAAACTGGAACCATGTAATCAAACGCGATTATAAATAATGTACAGCAACGTTGTGAGGTATAGGCTGGGTTATATTATTATCGATGTCATACAAATTATCTAAGGTACAATAAAATGGGTGCCAAAAAGTTTATAGTTTTACTTTGTTTTTGGAAATCCGTTAACCGAGGATCCTGCCCAGGGAACCTTTGTATTCGTTAGAATAAGTAATTTAGCAGGTACCACAGATATGTGCCTATGCTAGGTGTGTGATTGGGACAATACACACGGTTCTATTGCGTCATTCCTGGTTTTAGGGCAGATAAAATCATTAATGCTTACAAATATTTCTGAAAAAAATATTCAGAGGTGAATCCCGATGAACCATATCTTCATATATCTGAAGCGTCAGATATTTTATATGTCCAAGGCGCTCATTGGAATGACGTTTCGATTATCTGGTGAGGGTATCGTCCAGTTTCTGCGGACTCACATACATCATTGAGATAGGGTATTATCTCACTGACTGCGTTAGCGCACGGCAGCTAGGAACACATGGAGCGAAAGCTCGCACTGCACCCCCACTCCTGCCCATCATGATCTGTATGAGCATCATACCGGCGTGCGATCGTGTGCCACCTGTGCGACATGCACTTCAAGGACCAAAGGCTAACAATGGTACTGCACAGGCTTTCTTCTACAGCGGAGACAGCAGACTCCCACTGGGTCTGTCTTATACTAACACTTTTAACCGCAATTAAGAGAGACTGAAGTCAGACTTACTCGCGGTTAAGGGTGCCAGTGTAACTAGTGTATACCTCCTTGATGTCTAAACATACACATGACTCAATTTATACGGGAAACGATTAAGCCGTGGGCATCGAACCCGTGACGTGTAACAAACGGAGGCCGAACCTTGAGGTGGTTCGAGGCCTCGTCGAGTTTCTCGACGAGCTCCCGCTCCCTCCGCCGCTGGTGCGAGACCAGGATGAGGTCCCTGACCGGGTCGTGGAGCGCCAGGTCGCTGAAGAAGAGGCCCACGCGCTTCATGTCTTCTAGACTCTTGACCCGCGGCGAACACAGGAAGAGAAGGCTGTCCGACTCTGGGAGGGACATCATCTGGCCCTTGAGGCGGAGTACGCCATCTGGTGGAGGCTCGACGGTGCTGTTGAGTCGCCGGAGGAGCTTCCTCTTGTTCGCCACGGGCTATAAGAAGAGACCACAATGGCCATTGTGTCGGATGAGAAAAAAGTGCCAAACTTTCGTCTAATCTCGTTTGAGGGTGGCAAGAAAACATGAAGAGTAAAAGAAGGACGCGGTAAATTTTTCCAGAGCATTTTTTAAAAGACAGTGAAGTAAGCAGCCTCAAGGAACTTCCCATCACTCCCGTTTCGCAAGTCCACGGAGTTTTCAACCTCTTTAAAACCAGAGACATAAGAACAAGAAAGATGACAATACACACATAGGAATTTATGTGTGTGTCTGTTGTCAACGATTTTTGTCCCGGGATGTCGGGTCTTGAAAAGCTTGAAAGTTCAGCAGCTCACCCGCATGTTAACTATTATCTCTATCATTGTACGGAACTTGTTCATGCAGCCATTGCTAGGACACTTATGTGCAACTGAAATGATTCCGTTGCAAGTATAGCAAAGACCTTATTCTTTTGCGCTGCACAACAGGTTAGAGGTGATCGGTCGACTTACTTTACATAAACATTCAGAACTTCTGAACTGATCCCACGCACATCGATCTTCTAATTAAGCACAAGTGATGTAATTTTTCATCGACTTCGCAGGAAGCTCGGTGTTCTTGCTGTGGATCGTTTGTCTGTCCTCCCATTCATGAAGTAGGAAATGCGATAGTACGTTCTGCGGCGCACTTACCGAAAGGGCCTATTGATTAACTAGACTTTATTTCGGGATAGCTGGTGCATGATGCTCAAGAATCTTGCAAGTCCAAACAGAAACAAACACGAAGAAACGTGACTCAGACTTTTTCGTGTCCCCTCTTTCTCTTCCTCGTCTCTTTTAGCACATACAAGATTTCGGTCTACTGATCTCTCTTTGGAACAACGATCGAACGAAAAAGTGTGTATGAACCGACCGAGGGAACCCGGGGCCCGGTGGGGCTCTTCCTGTCCCTCTCGAGGACCCCGTCCCTGGCCGTGACCACGTAGACCTGGTTGAGGAAGCCCAGGATGCTCTCGAACGTGCACTCGATCACGGGCCGGGAGATGCTGAACATGTCCGTGAACCGGACAGGCTTGCCCCTCTGCCACATGGACTTGGTCAGACGGAGCAGGCCCTGCCCGAATAAAAAAAACACACACACACACACTTGGTACGATAGTCAAGCAGTAGTCACACTGCTGATACATAACAGAAAAGGCACGATGTCCGCCGCAAACATGATGACATAATTATCTGCGGAAACGCCTCAAGCATGTTCTAAGCATGTTTCCTTCATACATAGGTATGCTTTGAACATGTGTGCACACTATTTTTTGTGAGAGATGTGATAGGAAAGTCGTATAAGGAAAAGAACGCCTCAGAGAGTGACTGCAGGCTGTTTTTGTACAATTAGCAGTCCTCCGAAATTGCCGTACCACACTAAACGCAAATCACTCGTGGGATGAACCACCTACCTGCTACGTAGTTGAATGGACACTAATAGCGGGACGGTCTCACGATCCGATTTCGGCGGTGCATTTTATCTGGATTTTTGACTGAAACGCTCGAGGTGCACTTTGAAATTAGCTAGCTGCGTCAACTCGGCCGGGATATTCAATGACTTTACCCGCCTGACAGGGCAAGGGCTAGTTTTTAGGAGAGCATTGCGAGTTGCACGTCTGGTGTCTGCGTTCCATGACCCAAAGGTTTAAGCCGCTAGTGCAAAGTTGGTGCTTCAATACGTCCGGAGCCCTGAACATAATCCCGCATCCCCTTGGAGTGTAGAAGGCCCGGTTTCGTGTACCCTTGACTTTGACCGTCCTGTCTGGGTTCCCTGTGACTTTCTGAGACATATATTTACTTAATTTTTTTTTTTTGCATCATTGATGTTTTTGTTTTTGTTTTTTATTAGCGAGAATTTAAATAGTATTCGATGTTGTGTGCTTTCGTTACCGTCATAAATCGTTTTTAATCTTTGCGTTTAGACGTTTTCCATCCTTCCTTTAGTTTATCACAACCGATTGACTTGCACATCTGATGCAGCAAATGTTTCAGTCATGAAAATTTAAAAAGAAGTTTATGATTGATGTTTTAGGTACACACTCTAAACTTTTTCCTCACCGCTCATGTACATTTCGATTGCAGCTGCGTCAAAAACTCAACATTTCTTCAATCCAGACAACACGTGTAAATTGGGTTTTAAAAACCTGCCCCAAAATTTGCACTTCACTAAACAGACTGCAAAATTATCATTTGGTCACTCGCATCTCGGTGCTTGTGGCGCGGACAGTCATCACCTTTCCCGCCTGGGTGATGACGAAGTCCCTGTCGAAGACGACATGGAACGGAAAGGCCGTGCAGAAGGTCCTGGTGTCCACGGGTAGGTCTTGGGGACTCTGACTCAGGTGGTCGGTCACGTGGGCAGACGTGAACGAGGACCGCTTGTGCGCCAGAGTCGGCACCGCCAGAGGCATCGGGAGCTGGACGACATCAATAAGGCACAGCATGTCAGAAAGCTTCGAAAAAAAAAGTGTTTGCCAGTCGACGCCACTGTCCTCCTCAAGACGTCTACACTGCGCTTGCGCTGTCCCTCAGCAAAGTCACAGCGCGTGGTTCATCCATAACGCCACCAGGAAGACATCGAGGGACCACAAGTCAGAACGCAGTGAAGGCACCAGTCGAAAACGCGCTCCAGATGCATACCAAGACAGAGCGATTGGAAGTCGCTTGGTAGGTAAGAAACGCAGGGAATAATGTGCTCACTTTTCATGCTTCGTTTTTGAGCAGTCTAATTCATACAGGTATTATAATGTGCACTGGAGCTTCAATTGGCGCCAGTGCTTATGGGACTTCTGGTTTCCAATTGAAGGAGACAGCAAGGAGTCCTTTTTTGAAATGCTCCTGGGAATCCCGATGACAAAACGCGCGTGAATTTTGTCTCTTCGCCAGAGAATAACAAGAACATAGCTGTGCTACCTGGCTCGTAGCGAAAAGCAGATAACTTTAGTAACATTATAAAGTGAAATTGTTTTAGTGACAGTAATTTTTCAGATCAGTGAGCGATGTTTCACTTCCTAGTACTCCGGGTTCAGTCCTATATTCCACAGCAAGTGTGCAAAGGCAAGCGGCAAATCTAAGCAAGAATCACAGTCGAAAAGAACGTAGGGCTTATTCAACGTGCGCCGCAATCCCGATGACGCTAGTATTGATAACCTGCGAGATTTATATGCCACTAAAATGACCCCCATCTACGAGCTGCCTAACGCGTAAAACAGTAAAAGTACGGTCACTAGAAAATGTGTTTCTCTTTTTATTATTGTTCCGAATTTATCGGGCTATAAGAGTTTTCTGGCTTCAGACCGTTCTAAAAATTTTCGAACATGCAGGCATCAGTTTATAAGGCGAGAAGAAACTGACATTTGCGCTCATACCTGAGAATCTGAGGGAATAAAAATAATGTCATTTGCAAATCACGCTCATTACTTGGCTTCTTTTTTTTTTTTCTCGCCGTCTGCATGCACAGGTAGGTACTGATCCACTCTTAGTGCGTAGTTCTCGACGTCTCTCTTGATTTTCGAGGTGTTCTTCGTCACTTTGGCAAGTAAAACGCCCCGCGGAAAAACGCCGATGCCGTGTTCGCGCTAGCAGTGTCGGACGGTATACATAAATACCTGTACGAAGAGATTTTAGCACCGTTTCTAATGCCCCGAATTTGAAATAAAAACGCCGTAACCGACCAATATCTCTGTCTACGTGACCGAGAAATGTTCCGAGCTATCTAGTACGTACGAAGTATCCGTGATATTTCCTCTTAAAATCGAGATCCGAGAGAAAATACGTCCACCTTTTCCCAAAGAAATGCATTAGCGGAAGCCAATATCAGACTGGCTACCGTCGTCTTCAATTCGAAATCGCACACTAGCGCCAGTTGGACCTCGAGCGTACCTTATAATAACTCTATAATCTAATCCCGTGATGATGCTGTCTCATTGGCTGTTGAGACATTAACGTGTCCAGAACTCTCCACGCCCGTTGTCTCTTAACCTTTGTGTGACTACCCGCGTCGTAGATGAGAAGGCGTACCTTGAGGAGGTTTTCGGAGACCTCCATGAGGACGACGACCCTGTCTCCCTTGTCGGTGACCTTGCAGGTGCTCACGCTCACCTCCGTGTCGAAGAACTCGCGCGCCACGGTCTTCACCAGACCCTTGACGATCGGGTGCAGGCCCCTGCGCTCACTGCGCGACACGCCGTCCAGAAGCATGGCGTCATCTATGCCGCCATGCTAATACATCTTACAAAAGGTGTGTTTCTATGACAAAGCAAACAAAAAACAAAAACAGCAAAAATACGTAGACATGATAGCCAGTTTTAGAATCCCGACGCTTTAGGCGCCCCGAGCAGCTTGGGGGATCGCCGTGCGCATGCCCAGTTGCACGCCCCAAGCTGTTTGGGGGCCCCTATTCTACAACTCCCTCAAAAGTCACGCCCTGCGTTGTTTAAGCCGTCAGTGACGATAAAGAAGCTATTGTTAACTCGTTCGAGCTTGCAGTATGACCAATCCGTGGCAACGCAGGAACAACGGTTTGCTTCCATCGACATTTAAAGACATGGAGTCTGGATTAACGTAGATTGTTTTCCCATCATTATTTTCTAATACCTCTTAACGCGATACAATCACATTTTGACGGCTATTAACTTTTCTTGCCGGCAAAAAACGCGAGATTTAATGAAAACCGTTACAAAATGCTGCACTTGCTCCTTTCTGCTACCCGGCGGAATGAGTCTTTGATAAAAAAAAAAAAAAATGTGCTCTCTTTTCGATTTAATCTCGAATGGCGCAACTTTCTGCTAATATATAACCTAGCTCAATCCCGAGGTTTATAATCGCATACATTCTTCTCTACCAGCGGAAAGCAATTCAGATAAATAGCGCGAGCGCGTTCTGAGTAGGAGCACGATGAAGAAATAAAATGCGCGAAGGTCCAAGACCGATAATGCAGTTCAAACGAGTGCTTATCCATCTTCGTCAATCCAGAGTGGGTGTCTGTCCTCGTCTATTTTCTTTTAAATTCTTTCGATCAAAAGTAAGAATCCCATGTTCCAATCATTGAAGAATTGTAGAAACCATATATATATAATTTTTTATATCTGATATAATATATTTTATATCTTATATATAATTCCCTTTTTTACTTGAAGTATAATTGTTGCTCCTTAGTGTGTGGCAATACGACCGGTACAGACATAAGACTAATGCATACTCTAAAACAAAAAGAAGCTGTTCGGATTATACGTAACACTGCTTACGATACTCGTACCGGTCCATTGTTTAATAAATTGGATATTCTAGATTCCAAATCAGGAGATTTACTATAAACGTTTTCTTGTATTAAAAATGTATCTTGGAAAAAACAAAAATGTATTCGTATCAATCTCCACCTTTAGATTGATGGGGGTTGCATATGAGACTCGCTGTGTAGACATGCGGATGGTGTTGAACTCTAGAACGAACTACGGTAATCAGTCTTTTTAAATGAACAGTACCACGTTTCTTAAATCGCCCGCCTGAATTGAATATTAAACTGTTGTGTGAAACCCGGAAAAAATTCACGTTCAATGTTTGTGAGGGAGTGCCCGTGAAATTTGTGAAGATTAAAAGTCTGGGTCAACCAATTACCGTTCTCGCCCTACCACCGATTGTTTATTGTTGTGTCGTAAGTATTCTTTGCTAAATCGTTGCGTATGCTTAACGTGATAACCTCTGTCCTGCTGCGGGAGGCACCCGCAGCAGGAATATGAATATCCAAGTCGCCCAAGCACGAACTCAAAGTGAGTTTGTGCTTGGGCGACGTGAATATGCATCTATAAAGACTAAAAAGAGATCGCAAACAAAACGAAAAATCAGAAAAGACGGACAGAGCGCTGGCTGATTTTATTAGGAAAACACACGCATCGATGTGAAAAAAATGGGACATTAACCATCTTACCGATTCATTGACTATGCAACGCTATCAAAAGTACCTAAGAACGCAAGTTTCTCGTTATGGAGCGCTATCGATGCTACACTAACCAGTGATTTCTCTAGACACCCCCTAGGGAGGGTGCACAGCCCCCCTTGTTTTTTCTGAAGGCACCCCCTTAATTCGCAACGACTCCTCTATACTCAATCCCCCCCCGCCCCCCTAAAAATGTAGACAGCCCCCCCCCCCCCCTCTAATTTCAATTCTTGTCTATTGCTCGACATACCCGTTGCGCGACCAGGTTTTTCCTACTTAGGGTAAAGAACAAACTTTCCGTAGACTGTACGGTAGAGATCCACACTACTAGCGGTAGCGTTTGCCGTCCCGTTGAGCACAGATTGAGCTGGCGACCACAAGACCAAAAATCCACAGCGTACCCGATATACCAAAAGTCCGTAATGAAATTAGACATCAAGGTTCGTTCGTGCAACGCTGTTGCGAGGCGGAACCCAAGAATTCTATTTTAACGCGCTCACTTTTCTCGTTAAAACTGCTTCACGCACGAACACGCCGACCAGAACCTTGCGGCAATAGCAGCACCAAGGCACCAAGGCCGACGATCCCCGTCACCGTTTCCACTCTGTCGCCGACGCTGCCGTCTCCGCTTCTCTGGTTCTCGGTTCGTCCGCGAGAGGGCGAGCAGCGGGTTGTGTAACTTTTTTCTATCGTATAACAGCAAGCTATGGATCTTTGGCATCTAGTTCGAACCGCCAGCGCTATATTTGGGCAGAGTTTGAGCGTTCAGCAATAAAAATTTGCATTTCTACAATAAAAATATATATAATTTTTGCGAAAATCTTGTATACAAAGCCCGGTGTTGCTACCTGCAGTAGTGTAGGTGTAGACTTCCCAGGGGGCCGGGCGACACCCTGAAGGAGGGGGCACTCATGCCCGGGTAGGTGGAGGCCAGGTGGTCGTGCAGGTTGTCCAAGTTGGTCAGGAAGTCTGTCAGGTTGGATCCCAGCACGCGCAGGATGTGGTCATAGCCGTGCTGCTGGCAGAAGTACAGGAAGTGGCAGCCCAGGGCTTCGAGGCAGGCGTCCGCGCTCAGGCCTGCGCTCGCCATTTCCGACGAAGACGCGAGGAGAGAACGATTTTGAGATTAGTGCTGTTGAGTCGAACCCTTCGATAAGGGCATCTTGAATCTGGCGACTCTTTTCTCTACTGTAGCCACTGGGAGTAACTACAATCGTGAATGACCTCAATCATTCTTGCTTTGACATTTCTGTAAACTCATAATTGTCATTGTAATGAAATTGTTCGTTATTTATGGTAAATCACAAATGACCGAAGAATGGCCTACTAGAACAAAAACTGTTTCGTTTTATTCATGCACACCAGCCTCAACACCAGCCCCAAGAGCAGTTCATTGGCGATTCTTCACCATATTAACCATCTTTCCTGACGCATAAAAGCAGTTTCACTTAAAGGCGACACCAAGCGGCGGAAGCTCGAAGTGCGATGGACGTCCGGAAGGTGGGTTGCGCTACTTGTCCTTCTTTAGTCTGCCTAGATTCCAGAGTGTTTCCAACTGCTCGATCGCGGTCAAGAGGCTTATGGGCCGAGGTTTCCATACGAGCTGCGAGGAAGGGACGAACGCGTTGGTCGTCTGTAAGCGTCTCTGCCTTTCCGTCCGCTTTCCTCCTTCCCGCGCGACAACGCAACGGATGCGCACTGGCGACCAATCCGCCCAAGAGGCGTTCGCCATTAAATTGCAAACGCTATCTGTGGTTTAAGTTGGTTCCTCTCTTAAATCTAGGTTTTCTGCCATGCTTTCTTCGTGAATCATTAGAGGCCCAATTAAAAAAAAAAGTCTTATCCTTAAAAAAATGCTAAGATGTGTGTAGTTACGCTTATTGTGAGATGCTCTGAAATAGGTATTCCCGAACGCTTTTCATAAGTGAGAGCAGGACAACGCCGAGAACTTACTGCGTCCCCTACGTTCCCATCACCGCGAGAGCGGGCTGTTTGGTATGGCGACAGCGTCTTCGGCAACACGAACAACCAATGGGTGAGCTCGGCATGTTTCGCAGCACGTGGGTCACAGCAAACATCAGCGGCGGTCCTTCCGGCATCGCTTATTTGATTATCGTTTCGGTTCAGTGATATGCCGGCACTGCCCTTATTTAAACAAACCCGAATGCCCAGCTTACCGTTGCCGGGATGGCAGCCAGAATCGCCTTACTTCACTCTTACGAACTTGATCGCTAGGAAGTCAACAAGACGGTCATCTTTGATAATGGAGGCGCCCAGCACGGCGAGTTCGCAAGGCGGCACGCCTGGGAACAAATCGCCACGGCGTTGTTTGGGGTCCCGGTGATCCTGGAGATAGCCGACGTTCTTTGTATCACGAAAGTGCCAGCAAGAGCCGCGTGCTCACGTTGGAACTCGTTCGATCGAAGGGCTGGAACCATGCTGTTGGACATGGGTCTTAGTAACCGTTCCCGAACCAATCTTTTACATGACGATCACTTCTACATACTGCGGGGACACCAGACGAGCGCAACTCGTTGCTGACGTGACGTTTAGCAGTGGAAGCGTTTAACCCACATCGCGTAGCTCCCGAAAGATGTTCTACCTCGACCCGCGTTGATGAGTCTTTACTAGTGACGTGACGTCGGGACAAAAGTAACGTACACAAAGAACAAAGTATACGTGCCAAATGATGCCAAAGTAGTCCCTACGGCACTTATTTGAGGTTTCCGTTGAACAAAACAGCAGATCGCTTCATCGAGAGTGTCCATGCGATGAAAGCGTCCGCCACCGCCGTTCAACCAAGACGACGAGGAGAGAAAAGGGCCAACTCTTAAATCGAGGTCATCGTTTAGGCTATTCATATACAGAAAAGGTCCAGTTAAAAAAAATAAAAAGGGGGGGGGGGGGGGGGTCCTGCGGTTATTTTTTATCCAACAAGGCAGCGGTCGAGGGCAGACGGTCGTAGCCACGGAGGGCAAGTCGTAATTACGGAAGGCATGCATGGACGAACCACGCATGGACGGAAGGCAAGTTGACGAGGTCGTGCTTGTCAACGGACTAGGCCTTACTAGGCCTAGTCCGTTGACGAGCACGACCACGGCGTAAGAGGAGACTTGATTCCGCTTTCGGCGAGGTCGCACAAGGCACTGCTGCCCCCGTTGAATACCCGCGAGGCACTAGTCTGGCTCATATAAATTGCTGACGTAATCCACCACCGACTGGAAACCGTCGCTGGCATAAAAGCGAAGCGCCAGCAGCACTATCACGGGCAGCGAACGAGGTCGAGCGGTCGGGCGGCGAAGGGTTTGTGCCAGCACATCGGGCGGGGCTTCGTACGGTGTGCCTCAGCAATCGGTAGATAGCGTTCAGGGCGATGATCCGCGATCGTTTCCAGACTTAGGCGTGTGCTGAGCGCACGCTGCTGCCATAAGGTTCTGGCGTCGCACTGTTTTTCAAGCACGAACGAAAGGTAGGCAACCATTTTGGACGAATATTCGAGAAAAAGTTCGTAAGAGGAATTGCGTAGTATTTTGTCTTATCTCGCGCAGAAGTTAAGAACATTTTGCATCGAGAATACAGAGAAGTTCGTAAATTTTGAATGAGTTAAATTTACCGACTTTTTTCTTGTAAGATAGTATTAAGAACCCGGCATCTGAGTCGCGAACGGAGCAGGAGACGTGATGTAACTTTCCTCCGGACGCCATCTGTAGCTTGAGCTTTCGCCGCTACGCTAGGAAAGCGTGTGCGTGCGCAGAACTTTTCTTAAAAAAAGGTTCGTTTATCAGGGCACCCAAATGCCAGTAGCAGGCGCTAATAGTTAAATTGAGGCTTTGGCAAAATAAAAAATGAAATATTGAGAGCTAAAAAAGATCCAGGTCAGGGCCGGTTTGCTGGTGAATGCAGTGTTTCTGCCGGCGGCTGAAAAAAGTCGCGAGAGAAAGTTTTGATACCACGTGACCGGCTTCGTGCGGGGAAAGTACCCCCGCGGACAATACAGACTGAAACAGCCGATCCGGTCTTTTTCTACGTCTGGGGTCCCAAAAAGCTCTGATATCTCTCAATTTTCGGAATAGTCCGAAGTATGGAACCTTGAATTCGCAGTCCATTCGTAGTTTGGAAAATAACTCTCTCAAAAACTGGCAGGTGCGCCAAAAGAGCTCGAAGGACTGCTTCAGATGACATTGACCGCGATAATAGATTTTGAGTTTCTCCTGATTCCGCTCAGGAATAATAGGTATTGCCTGTGGGTGTGATTGTTTTTATTCTCGCTTTACACGACCTTCACCACAAAATACTTTATGTGGCGCACTTTAAGTACACGAATGCTACTCTTTTCATTTACATTTTAAGCCTGTTCACCCTCTTTCTCGGTGCAAAATGGGTCTTGAGTAATTGGAGCGAGGACGGATATACTAGAGACATTTGCCTACAACGCTAGATACCTCCCGTTTCTTGTTCCCCACTTAGTCGGTCACATGACCTGAACATCCCTTTTCCGGATATTTCACCCGCCGGGAGAGATGCGTGAATTGTCCAGCAAGCGGGACCTGGCTGTGTTTGCTCACCGAGCACTTCGGAGGCCGACTGGACCAGCTTGAGGGTCAACTCGTCGGCGTACACGCGGTGCATGAGGAAAGAGCCGCCGTGCATCCGGATTCGGCTCTTCTTTCTGCAAAAAAGGTACCGGTAAAATAAGACCACCTAAAATGACGCAGCTTACACCGAGAACAAGAGGGGAGTAACAACGACATTTTGAATGCACGTCACATGCCTGCATCCTAGATTGCATCATGTTTTGACCGAGGTATCTCGTCACGTGTGCATGAAACCACCTGAGCTCCGACTTCGGTCACCGCGAGAGCCATGGAGAGAGAGATTTTTTTTTGTGCATTTCGCGGACCGTTTTTGCCTGCTAGCGAGAGCGAAAAACGCGGTTTGTCTGCTACGAAGCGCCATTCGCAGAAGAAAATAAAACAAGAAAACATCTTGTAATCCCTGAGAGGGGAACGATAAAAAAACGGACAAACACAACAAAAACTCACTGCTTACAAGAAAACAGCGTACGTCGCCCAGACAGGAAAGAAAAAAAAAATTACCATGCCAGGAAATACGTAGCGTGAGGTAAGGTTCAGCTGGTTATTCTTAGCTTTCCTGGTTGTCTAGGATTAGCTTGATTATCATGCTTACTGCTGCTTCAATGACATCACACACGGTATACGCATTATGTGACACATGTATATTTATTTTTTTTGCTCAACGTCTGGTTGCTTCTCTATTGCCACAAAGACGGCTCGGTGGTCAGTGTAGTAACACGCTGCCGTCTCTATGGCCCCAACGCAGTATTTGGAATCGATTCTCTCTCTGAAACACAAGATCAATGGTGGTTCCCCCGCACAAAATGAGAGGCGCTATCAAGCGGCTCCGGTGCAGCGTCAGACTTGGCTACTGCGCAACGGAGGCGCACAGCTGGGCACGCGGCGGCGCCAGTGCGTCTGCCGCGGCTATGACGTCACTCCTCTGGAATGCGCAGACCGGCGAGGCGGGCGCGGCGGCGGCGGAGCGCGCGGTGGCGGCGGCTCCGGCGCGCCAGCTGTGCGCCGTGTGACGTCACTGCTCCTCGCGCATGCGCAGCACGGCTCTCTAGGAGCCACGCGAAACTGCTCAACCCCGGCCAGTGTAGCTCACGCTACAAAAAGTCTATTACCTGCCATGAGCTGAGCACCATGGCGAAGTGAGATCGGACGCAAGCTGAAATTGTGATCGCTCGCTATTTTACGCTGGAAGCCATTGCCAACCAGCGCTTCTCGCAAATATCAAGTTCTGCCGCCCTACAGAAGCTGACATCGACCGGTGGTTGAACGACTAGTAAGGACAAGCACGTCAGAGGCATCGAGTTTTACGTTGGTGAGTTGTTGTCACCAAAATAGTGCCTAGTTGTAAACTCACGAAGCTGGCCTATAGAATGTCTCTGGTCCATTGCGCGGACACTGTGGCGCCACCTTCAAAAAGCAGCCGAGAACGCTCGCGCTCTTGCCTTAAGCGGATTTGGACCCCAGGATAGAAAGCCGTAGTGCCGAATCTTATGCGTCATCCACTGAGGGACAAGGCGGAGCAGAACTTAGACACAAGCGCGTTGGCCCCTTTTTTTTATATAGATTTGTTTTTAAGAAAGCAGTGAAATATTGTGTGTGCAGGTGACTTACACGGTCAGGGGGGCATAAAATAGGTCGCTACGCGTCACGGTAAATCGAATATTTAGCTAAAAGATGTTGATTAAATTTTTTTTATTTTTTGAAAATGAACGTATGATACCACTTAGAAACTCGCTGAACCTCGTCCGAAACCACTAAATTGTAAATTTTAGAAGCATTTTCTCACGTATCGTGATAATTAGCCCTTTACATTATGTCCCCTTGGCCGTAAAACTCACCCGCAGAGGTCGCATTGTTGACGCTACCACGGCTTTTTTTTTCTTTTTAACAACCAGTAAAAATGATTAAAAGCACCATTTTAAGCTTTCAGAAGCAGTTTCCAAAAAACATTGCGGCCTATTTCTATGTATTGTTTTGTTACCGCCGTGCGATGTCACTCGTAATTTAACAGACGACATCTCGGATAACATGGTCCCCCTGTTGTTGTTTCTTTCCCCACGAACGTGCTATAGGTATAACATAGTGCCTCGGACAACCACCACAGAAAATACTACCTGACGGTTCTGCAGCCCACGTTCGAGAGATTGCAAATAATGGCTTCTATATAGGATGAGCTACGATGATAAACGGGTCATAAATGTCAATGACTGGGACGGATAACCGAGCCAGCCTGATATCTTTACTACCCGAGAAAAAAAAACGGCTCACGGGCCGATTGTGAACTGCGTTTGTTGTGCTTCGCTCATCTTGCCGACGTCGTAGCGCCATCCTAATAAACATCGACGACTTCCTCATTGTGCCTCCAATGGAGAAAAGAGATCTCGGAGAAGCTATGATAAAAGTTCGTCGTAGAACGGCGCTCATTCAGGTCGCGACGAAGCACTGGCTTGCACGTGACTCGTTACAAGTAACACCTTACTTCTACATATTCATCATTTCTTCGGTAACGAGATAATGACTTAGTTGTTGTCGTTTTTTTCTTCCGATACATAGAGCGATTGAAAGTACGAAATAAAGAACAACAAAAAAACTTTTTGTTTTATGTTTATTTTTTTTCGGCACAAATTTTATTGCCACACTGTTCTTATAAAGTCATATTTCGGGCTGAGAAACACATTTTCCGAAAGGAAGTGGCGGGTGACCCCGCCCCCTTTGGAATACGCTTCCTGTTTTATCGATAAATTTTCCAGCAAAAAAAAATAAAATGCAAAAAGAGATGTAAAAGCATGTAAGGAATGAGAAACGTCTTAAAAAGTATCTGGCAGATATTGCGTAACTCTTTTTCAACCAAGACAATCCCGAGACGCTGTGCACGTTTTATTCCACGTGTGTACTTTCAAGTGCCTGTGTTTTGTAACGACAAAATGGCGACATTGGATGCTGTTCTTTCGTTCAAAGGTGGTAGCATCGCAAGAACCAATATTTCGAAGCCCTGGGGATTGAACCCAGGGTGGAACACCATCAAGTTGCTGATGGAACCTGACCGCACTCTAATATACTTTGCGGACCGAGCGTCACATAAGGTAACAAAAGAGGCCCGGCAAGCAAAAAGATAAACCGTAAAGCGAAAACATAACTCTAATAATGACTACCAAGCCATTGAAGAAATGACTCTGAGGGTACTGGTGCCAATAGAAATTTGTTACACACCTGTTTTTTTACTTTAAACTCGATTATCTCAAAGCAGCGTTTTTCAGTGCATAGGTACCGTTACTTCCTTAACCTGCCATTATAGAGGCTTGATTTATTATTCCTGCCACCCACCTACTGTTGAAACGCAATGAACTAGAATTAAAAACATGCACTTAGCAGTTTTTTTTAACACATCTTTTAATAGACCAAAAGAGCTAAAACTTTAATGCTAAGAAAACAAATTGATAAAAAAAAATTAATTTTTCAATTGGTTTAAATCATTCTAGCTCAGTAGAAAAAACACAAAGTTCGGAACCAGATAATATACGTATATATATACAACAGGAGTACTCCTAACAATTACCGCGAAAAATGTTTCTCAATACAGCCTGAACTGCATGGAGTGTATCGGACTTACCCTTTGCCCTTAACGTACTTTCGTTGCCTTTTGATGGAATAACGAGAAACAATATCTAGTTACTTTTGAAGAGGAACACGTGCAGCACAAGTTACCCTATTTGGTTTACGGCTCGTCTCGCGTATGTGACTTTCACGGCAAAAAGCGCCGACCATGAAAAAAGGTGCCCATTTATGTATTACAGAGCTAGGCATCATTACCGAGGAGTAACCAAAAAGTTGCTCGGTACATTTGAGCTGTAGTACCACTTTACTTTTGAATCCCGGTAGCGAGTAACGTACTTAGTTACTTTTTGAGTGAGTAGCGAGTAACGGCGCTCAGTTACTATTTTTTCTCACTAATGTGTGCATGTGTGCCACCGAGTTATGAGTACCACTTCCCCATTGCTCTTAGTCGTCAAGTTTTACCGCTAACTATCAAATTGCCTGATGTAGTTGACGGTCGTGAAACCTTGTTACTTTCTTTTTATATGGTACATAGAATTTTTTTTTTTTAATTTCCGGATGACACAGAACATAACACAGTATTTAACGTTTTAGCTTTTTTTTTTTGTAAAACGTGATTAAATGGAGTGACAAACAATAATAACTATCCTTAGAGCGAAATCAAATACTGCCGTTTGTTCAATGTGTTTGAGCAAATATTTTGGAGCAAGGTAAAGCTCCTACATTAGGAAACGCATGTTCCACAATAGCACCGGTACAGGTCACACTGGTTACTTCGACCGCGACGCGGGCTATAGGTGGCGCAGCTGCCGCCCGATTTGTGTGATTTCAATCGATAGATGGATGCGTATGACTCAGACATGCCAGAGCCGTATATAGAGAGAACTTGGCCATTCGTTGGGAAGTATAGGAGGCAAATGGGGAGCCGACATTGGCCGAAAGCGGGCTGGGCGTGCTCCAGGGCGTCTTCGCAAATTCGAATGTGGCCAACCGGAAGCCGCAAATAATACCCTGGCGGTGGTCGCGAGAAAGAAAATTAATAAACGCGTCGGAATAACTCTCTGTGGCTGAAAATAATGTGCACGTGATGTTTCCCTCACGGTCATCCAAAATCATGGTGGAAGAGGGCGACTAGCGGAACGATCGACGTAATCCGTACGCCAGGCGCCGAGGGCCGAGAATCTGCCGTCCGCGCGGTCACACTCTGTCCGAGCAAACCATACTTCGAGCGGCACATTCGTTTCTTTCATCTTTCTGCGCGATCATAATCGAAACATCCCGTCCACCCTTCCTAATAAGCACCTAACTCTTAGGCGCTTATTAAAAATTATATACATATGATTAAAAGTGTTTCCCGGTACCACCGCTAGGGGAACCTTTCGGCTTCTCGTTGGCGAAGCCCTCTATCTGCGTCTGGTGCACGCCTTTGGCCTGCCCGCTCCTCCCATTGACCAGACTCTCTCTATGCACGGCTCTGAACCACGCGCATCCATCTATCGGTGCAAAGGTGCCGGCACGTGGC